AACATAGGGGGGTCTTGTCCAATCAGGTGAAGGTGTTAAGAGCAGAACTGAGCCAGCCATGGTAGCACAAGCCTGGAGGCTGAGGCAGGAGGATCCCTGTGAGTTTAAACTCAGCCTGAACTATATAAGATCTTGTCACACACACAAAAATAAACAAATAAAGCAAAGCCGAGGTTCCAATAAAAGAGATGCTGACATAAGAGCGTGACCGTCACCTCCAACCCGTCCGGCCTGCCCTGTGGATTTTGAATTCAAGACTGACCTCACCTCCCATCTGAAGTGCCAGATTTCAGAGTTGCCAGTCCCCCACCATCTAGGAGCCAACCCGAGATAAGTAAGTTTCCGTAGAGAGGTAGATGGAGATAGGAAAGACTAGCTTAGATGGATGAGAGAGATCTGCAGGCCACGTATCCTACTGGTTCTGTTCCACTGACACCCACAGCCACCAAGTGGCACAGCCAAGGCTCCGGCCCAGGCCTTTGCTCTTAACGCCAAACCCCACTGCCCAAGAGCTGGGAGTCAAGTGGGCGTCAGCCCTCAGTACTGCAGATGGCTGGGTAAACAGGCAGGCGGACAGACAGACGGTGTCCAAAAGCCTCAGCCGCTTCTCCCCTCAGTACAGGGGGACTCAGAGGAGAGGATGGCACCAGGCTCTCTGCAGGGCAGGAGAGAGTGCACCCCGCAGAGTGGCTTCCCCAGCTCGGGACAAGCCCAGAGTGGGAGGAGCTGCAGCGGTCAGAGGCTCCCCGGCCCTGGAGGACAGCGGGGCCTCCGCCTGCCCAGGACGCTGGCCCCTTCAGAGCTGGCCTCTGGTCTCCGGGCAGCTGGCACCTGTGCACACGGGCTGTCCCTGGTGGGCAGCTCCTCGTTGCCTCCCTGCGTGCTCGCTCCACCCTGGGACAACCTGCTGCCACTGCGCTCTTCGGGACCCAGGCTTGGTGGCCCTGAGGCAGGAGCTGCAGAGGCAGGAGCTGTGACACGGCTAGGACCACCCTCGGGGCACCAAGGAGGGAAGGGGCACGGGCAGTTCCCAAGCTCTGGGCGAGAACTGGGCCACAGGTCAGCCACAGGGCAGAGCCCGCCCGCCCCATGAGGCCTCCCCGGAGGGTCCCAGGCCAGATCCGCCAGCGGGAAGTGGCCTGGCTTCCGGGCGCTGGCCCAGTGTCCACTGGGAAGGCCCCAAGCCCAAACGTCCTGCCCGCTGCTGGGCCCTGGGCCGCCCTTGGAGAAGCCTCCTGGGTTTAGAACCCTGAGATGAGGGGTGCCGTGAAGGGGTGGGGGGGGTCTCCCAGGGACTGGCCGGGGCCACCCATCTCTGCTTCCCGCTGAGCAGTCACACCCAGGCGCCTGCAGTGCCACAAGGTGGGGGGGACAGAAATAACCAACAGGCCAGGGCCATCTCGGTAGTGGCCCAAGCACCCCCACAAATGCTGCCCACAGAGGGCCTGGGGAGCGAGCTGCCTGAACTGGGGGGGCGCTGGGCGGAGTCCTGCAGGGTGAGGGGGTGGGGTGCAGGGCCTTCCAGGGAGGGGG